CAAGCTCTATCATATTAATGGTTCATCAGAAATTAGGTATCTATATATATATATATATATATATATATAAGAACACTCAAGTCTCAAGAACACTGTGTTCTTGAACCTTGAACTCACATCCTCAATCCGATGACAAAATATTTGGCAGGCAAGGACATATAAAGGACAGGACAAAATTCTCCACAGCCTCATTAAAAGAGGCAGATGAATACTACGACTGCAGAGAGAATGTGCCAGATGTGCAGCCAGACTCACATGGTTTTCCTTGCAGTAGTATGACAACGTGGGAAATCGACCTCTGCTACGAAACTTCGAGCTTCCTACGATGACAGGTAGGGTGACGGATTTAGGCACAAACAAGTCAGCTGGGTAAGTATCACACACCTGTGTTACAAGGAGAAAAGTTAAAATCAAGCACTTACATAGTAAATTGATTGTGTTTACATAGTGATGGTTGGTGATATACTAACTCTGTACTCTCGGTTGATTGGGGTGACATGCCATAGCTTATTTGGAAGTCCCATTCGACTGTACTCAGCCTTCAGATCTAAAAAGTCCCATGAGTGCTCCCTTTCAGCTTTGTCAACACTGGGATTGAAGGAAAAACAATACAACTCCTCATATTTTTCTGCAAGACAGAAAACAAAATCATGACAGCAATGTCCTGGCACACAGAAATAATTTCTACTTAATTACTTTTGAAAACTGTATTAAATGCACAAATGCTGCAATGATATTGTAATCACAGTATATTCCTAAAACAATGCCAAAATGCATGCTAGGTGACCCACCTGGCCTGGAGAGACGTGAGAGTGAAATGTAAACATCGTGGCAGTCGCTCTCTTGAGGAATGATAAACTGTATGACCTGAAAGTTCTTGCAGATGATTAATAAAGGGTATCCGCTCTGAGATGCTTTATGCTTTACAACATTACACACTAAACTGTGAAGAACCTGTGAAAAACGAACATAAAGTGTCAGCTATTGTGCTTATAAAAAAGAATATTAACAAATCAGTACATATTTAGAGCACAGAAATACCGCACAATGACATACCGAAAATGTCACTTACCCACAGCTCATTTCTGTCCTCAGAACCTTTCCCTACAAAGATAGTGTGTGTGGCTGTTAGGTAGAGTGTGCCCACTTGAGTTCTTCGAGAAGAACTTCTGACCAATAACCGGACATTTTCAACCTGTAATATATAACCAAGGTAATTAGACAACATTTGTATTAGTGATGCACTAATGCACCATCTCACAAACATATTATAGTGGCTTGAAATGATACTGCAGTGCATGTTTTAATTATCTGCGATCAAATAGCAAAATCTCAAACTGAATATGGCTTTTGAGTCATTTTCTTTCAATTATAACTAATAAACTATAACACATGTAGGCCCTTGTATTTTTATCCTTGCACATTGGTCTCATTGACTGTATTGAATCCATTGAATTAATCTATTTACAAGTAATAAAACTTCAAGTTACTAATGTTGAGCATGTGGAAGGAATGCATGGAGATGTGAGGTACATGTCATGAAAAAGGGAAAGATTGTATCATTGTATGGATGCTGGACATTTACCTTTGGCATTCTGATGTGTTCCATCTCTGACCACCACACCTCTGGCGCGTGCAGTTTATCAGGGTACAGAAATACTTCTTAGTGTCATGCTGAACGAGTGATATTGTGTTAATTCAAACACAATAATATCTGAAGAATTGTTAGAAACGCTGAGCTGCTTTGAATCCTGGTTGATACGGTTACATATGGCTCCTCCCGTCATCTGTAGTGATTCACCGTTAGGTCTCTGTGCCGCGCTGACCGAGATTGAGGTCTCTGCAGAGCAAAAGTGGGCGTTCCTGAATTTGTGGGTGTTTTCAAACTGTAGGGTGTTTCTCAATCATGCAATCAAAATGATCTTCCTTACTTAACCCCACCCCTAAACCTACCGTCATTATGACATCAGCCAATCAGGAACCAGGGTCTAAAAACGCCCCGATCTGGTAACCCCCATTACTTTCCTGCAGGGACCTATACTTGCGCTGACCGCTGCTGGGTCCTAAAGCCGAAGAGTTTGGTGGTGTAAGCTAATTAGCAAATTGTCTTTACGCCAAAAGTATAATGGTATTCGTGTGAATATATAGCATATGTATGCCGTTTTCTTAATCTAATTAAATTATGTTTTACTCCAGTGATTATTTAGGTGATGTTTGAAGTCCTGGATAGAAAAAAAAAACATTTCCATTGCTGTTGCCCAGAAAAGAAAGATACACCTTGACTTGTATGTGGGGTTGACACAATGACTAAGGGTAAAAGCAATCTAGTTGCACAAAAGATGTTTTTAAGTCTTCGGAAACATCATGTTAGAACTATTACAGACGTCATTGGCATGTGGGATTAACATGGAGGAAACTTGTTTTTTATACAACACCTAAATAAACAGGAGGTTGATTTTAGATACATTTTAGATACAAATTGTCAGTTACTTTGTCTGTTTTTGCCAATGAAAATAGTTGTAAAGCCACAACCAAACCACAACACCCAACATGTTTCTTCTTCTTTTTTCTTTCTTTCTTTTTTTTTCTGTTGCTAAATGAATAAGGGTTTTTGAACAAATGACTTATTCACTATTGTATCAATTAGATTTAAAAATACCTATGTAGGCTCTATGCACGTGTTGTGCTGTGTGTTCACATATATATTTGTATATGTATAATTATTTTTTCTAAAAAGCTCCTATGATATTTTTAAGGATTACTTTTAGATATGTCATCAAGGCCAAAACAATTATACTTTAGCTCTGGTGACATTATCGTGGTGCTCTCTCTCTCTCTTTTTTTTTTTTTTTTTTTTTGTGGTGGCTGGGACCAGTGCAAGTGTTGACCTATTGTTTGAAATGCATAATGCACATGCAAGCAAATATGTGAATCAGATCGCCTTAAGAATTAAGTTTAGTTTTCATATAAACAGAACTTTCAGAATCTGAAATTGGATTGGATTTATTTGGATTGAAGAAAATTAGTGCATGTAATAAAATTTCATAACTTAAGACCCTAAGTGACATTTTGGCTTCACTTTTCTACAGTGGAAGGAAGTAGAGATGCGTCATCCATCTTTTTTTTACAGTCTATGGTCACTACTTACTAGCGGAATGATGTAACTTGCAAAAAGTAACTGGAATCACTGACAAATCCCCACAGCACAAGCACAGTGATACAAACGTATTGTTGACTGTTATATCAGCATGCACACTGTGGATTATGTGGATTACGTATTGTTGGGCCTGAAACCACTGAGCAAAGATTACATGACTCAATCATGACGCTTAACCAGGATCAAACATCATTATGACCTTGAACAGTTCAGATGATTTCTTGTTTAAAAATAATTAAATGGCAGTAAAATGATGGCTAATTGTATAAAATATCCAACTGACAATCATAGCATACATATTTTGACCTGTTTTATCTCTAATGAATCATAGTGATATTTTTCCCCTAAACTGTTCATTTTTTACAGTTAATAACAGCACAGATTAAGTTCACATATAACTATCTCTCATTCTTAAAGCCTCTCTCCCCCATCTCCCTACACAAAATACATATTGACACTTCTGTGACGTCATATGACTCTTTGAATTAATCAGTGAGCCTTTTTAGACAGTTGATTGTGCAGTTTTGTTGAGGGGAAAATTGCGTCAAGGACTTTGATTTTGCCAATTGACTATTTCACTTCCAATCACCATTGTAATTTAGTTCAGTACTATTTACAGGGACTTTATATTGTTTGTCCATTTTGATAGATTAAAGGCAAATCAGTGTTTCTTTCATTGCATTTAGGAGATCTCTTTTTCCTCTTTCATATGCTTAAAAGATTACCTATATATTACTATAGATATTTCAGATAACAAAAATTGTTAGTAGTGGATTTTATAACCTACCATCTTTCTTAAAACCTGTTCAAGCTTGCAGAATTTGAGTAGGCCTACTATGTATTATAATGTATTTTGCCTGAAAACGTATATGCATTCACCTACATGCGTCATTCCCCCTTCTCTAAACATACCTCTGATAACCACCCATGTCCCAGATTTTAGCAGTATTTACAATTTACTCAGTAATTATTGTCCATATCAACCTATAGTACACTTAATCGTATTGTATATGTAATGGCAAGGAAAGACCTGCAGGAGCAACCTGAGGTTAAGTGCTCTGCTCAGGCCCATAATGGTTAATAAAGCAGGATTGTGATCTCAGTAATGGCCCAGTTTCTGTAACTAAGGATTTGTCCATCAGCTTCATAACACTTTTTTTCATTATATCATTAGTTGACATGCAAAAATCAACAAATGTATTCTGACTTCTGGCCTAGTAACCAAAAAAAAAAAAAAAAAGAATTCCTTGCTGCAAAGAAAATTGACTAAGAAACCTTGGGGCAGTTTCCCACAGGACCACTGTGCTGAAGAGGATTAGGCAAATTGAGCTCTTTTGTAATAAAACAAGCATTAAGTAGATCTTGCAATACACATAGGTGATCATTTCAGCCTTCACATTGGTATTCAATATAGATAAGATTATGGGCATTAACAAAGGTTCCTGGGTCAGTATGTCACTTCACTGCATAAGGTAATATTCATATTCCCTTCTATTGCGCTTACTGCAATGCACTTACCGTTATGGTACCAGATAATGCTTTCTTAATATAAAAATAAAGTTTTTGTCATCTTACCTTCACCAGATTCTCCTTAGGAAATGCAGTGATGTCATAGATGATCATTTTCCCATGCCGATGCTCAGTTTAACAGATCAGACTTGTCTAGATATTCAAGAGTCAGCAAAACAAAAGCAAGCACAAAGTGACGCTCATTGCATAAAAGTTATTTGTTCTCATAGATAAAGAGGGAGAGAGGGCAGTTCATCTTCGTAACAGCTGCATGCGTTTTGCAGCAATGACACTGCATGAAACTAAAATGGATTGCACAGAAGTTTTCTGATTTGCATCCTTATATTCTTATCTGCAGCCATTAGCTTGGACTGTCCTCATGTCTTCCCACTAATAATTGACTTGAACGTTTCCTGGTGACAGCTCTGTTAAGTGGTGTGGAGTGTCACTATGACAAACAGTTTCAGCGCTGCTGTATAGCGGTGTTGACATTAGAACCAATATTTAACTGTGGTCATGTGCGTGACAATCTAGTAAATCAGTGAGGTCGGCCTGTCCTGAGAGACAGAGGAAAACATATTTTAGAAAACCCCTCACTCATTTTGGGAAAAATTGGTTGTATGACCTGAAATGAATGTGCAGTTGAAAAAAATTTGCAGTTCAACCGGTTTCTTCCCATTTCTCAAGGAATCTTGTCTTCCTTTGTTTTCTCTACTGTGTAGGACTACATTGGCAGATGAATGCAGCTGCTCTTTGGACTTGATTTTATGCCTGAAAAGGCCTCTGGGTCTTAGACCACCAGTGAGAGAAGTTCGCCAGTGCCCATTCAGTAGTTTTTTATGCAATATAAAGGCTGTTAAAGTGAAATGGACCTACAGGTTCGGTTCTAATGATACACATCTTATGATATTTCAAAAGTTCTTTTAGCAAGTAATTGCATCAGGTTTTTAATGTAATTTCTTTTGATTCATGTCAGGTCTGTCTTTACCTGATGACTGTGCCAGCACTGGCAAATGTGTTATACCACATTCCCTGAATTTCTGTAAAGCAGTCTGTTCTGCTGTTTCCCTGGATAGTGTATGAATGTTTGCAATGGTGGCTCTTACCCATCCATTCAGGGTGGCATTTGCTTTCACTGTATTGTTCAGAAAGATAAAGGGCACAGAATGGACACAGCCTTACAACTGATGATGAACTGATGAAGAAAAACAAAACAGCCCGGCACATGCTAGAGCAGAGCAACTGAAGAATGAGTTTCATTGCACCACACAGTTTCAGAAACTTTCACCATTTCTACATAGAAGGTGAGTAAATAACATGAAAGATGGAATTAAATATTGTAAATACACATATTTTCATGTTAGGTTAATTATTTTCCACTTGCCTTTAGTAATAATAGCAAGCACATCCATATCCCTCTTGTTTGATGATCTTACTAACCATTATCATATAGAGCTTTTTATATTTTGGTAGATTTTTTAAAAGCATCTTCATTATCACTATTCACATTGTCTTGGCTAAGTATAGATGCACTAGATAGACATATTTGACTGTTAAGCTTGTGTCTTGCAGATCTGTTTTTTTAATAGTTTTTAAGCTATGTGGACGTCTTTGACTATTGTGCAGCATCGTGCTGCTTTTTAAGCATCTCACGCATGAGCCCAGCATTTTTTATTTTTAAGATGCCTTGTGAAATACATACGAAAATGAAATGTACTCACCCGCAGGTCATCCAAGATGCAGATGAGTTTGTTTCTTTATTGGAACAGATTTGGAGAAAAGTAGCATTACATCACTTGATCACCAGTAGATCATCTGCAGTGAATGGGTGCCGTCAGAATGAGAGTTCAAATAGCTAATAAAAGCATCACAATAATCCACAACTCCCACTCCATTAATTGACGGCTTGTGAGGTGAAAAGCTGTTGTAGGAAACAAATCCATTATTAAGGCATTTTAACTTTAAAGTGTCACCAAAAATGCAGGTTCCTAAACCATAATAATGCTTCTAATGGACTGTTTTCGTATATTGTATACTTCTCTCCTGATTCAGACAAGACAACTTTTTGGGAGTGCAATGTTATGGACAGGAATCAGTGGTTAGAGGTTAAAAACATCACACAGCTTGTGGATTACTTACATACCTTGTGTATTATTGTGATGTTTTTATCAGCTGTTTGCGCAAGACAACTTTTTGGGAGTGCAATGTTATGGACAGGAATCAGTGGTTAGAGGTTAAAAACATCACACAGCTTGTGGATTTGTATTCTTACTTGTGTATTATTGTGATGTTTTTATCAGCTGTTTGCGCTCTCATTCTGACGGCACCCATTCACTGCAGAGGATACATTGATGGGCAAGTGATGTAATGCAAAATTTCTCCAAATCTCTTCTGAATAAGAAACAAACTCATCTACATCTTGGATGGCCTGAAGGTGAGCCAATTTTAATGTTTGGGTGAACTAATGCAAAAAATGCATTTTGAGACCCTGCCTTAATTTTCCTTTACCCTGACTAAGGTCTATGGTAACTTGATCTTTAGTTCTGCTCTGCTCTTTACATTTAGTTACTAGGTCCACAAATTTGACAAAAACTTTCTTGTTTAAGAATGTGTGCACCATTTCTGTAACCGGACTTGACTCTGTTACTAAAATTCAGCCATGAGTGACAATTACCTCGGTCTCTCAGATTTGTTATCACTAGTTCTGGAGAGGCCAATTGACCCAGTATCCAGCTCATGGGCTTATAAATAAGGGAAACAATCATCCATTAAAGCTCTTTACTTTTGACAGACCTCTTTGTCCAATCATGTCCATGCTTTTAGCAACTCTTCCGCACTGCACTGGGCAAACAGATCTGTCTGTCTCAATGTTTGTCAATGTCAATTGCTTAACCATTTATCAGTGGTCAATAAGTGCACTGGCAGCTGGGACTTACTCGGCCATGAGTAAAAAAAAAAAAAAAACATGTTCAGAATAAATCAGGTAGCATTATTAAAATTGTTTTTTGGAATAAGAGAGACCTGGTCGAATAGGAAAATTAACATTGCCTCCCTCTGTGTGAAGTGTCTCTCCTCCTCTTTGGCCAGACCAGCCCTCCTCGTGGGGGGGCAGGGCAAGTTAAAGCAAACCAGAACAGAGTAAAGTAGGCAGTAAAACTAATGCGGTTGTGGGCTGACATGTCATTTGAGCTTGAGGAAGGAAGGGGCAAACTTTGGAAGGACTGAGCCTGTGAGCTTTTTAAAGAAATCAGTGGAGATCCCTGAGAGGTGTGTGTGTGTGTGTGTGTGTGTGTGTTTGCATGAAACCGTAAGGCATTACGTCCATAAGGCAAATCTACAGCTGCCAGTCTCTCATCAGGTGGTAAGTTTTAGTTTTTGTGTTTATGCAAATACATAATTGTAAATCATTTCTATTTGATCACATGCATTTACACACACTCAAATACTTTTAGCAGATCCATTGAAAACATGTCATTTTAAAGCAGACTAATATATAAATGTTAATCTATGACCATTGCATGTGCAAAGTCTGTCTGCACTGTAGTATTAATGATATCCACTCATTCATTACAGTAAGACATAATACAATCTGGCCCAGCTATAAAATATGCTATACTGTAACTGAGCTTCAGAGTTGCTTGTCAAGTTTACCATGATGAGCCCTCACAGCTACAGCCTCATGCATGTCAATCTGCTCTGCCTGTGGGATTTCTTAACACCTTTTACAGGTTGTATGCAGACACAGTGTAATGCTAATGCTCAGCAATTTGGTCACACTCACACCACAATGTGCCAAATCATTTGTAAAATATCTGTTTTATGTGTAAAAGAAGTTCTTTAGAAAGTAACTTCACTGCAGCTTTGGTCTGCAACTTCATTTACATGCAAAAAGAGACTGGAAAAACTGTTCTGTAAAGCCTACTATTTGTTTGTGGGTGTTTATATAAAATATGTATTCTACCATTCAAAAGTTTGGGGTTAAGATTTTTATAATGTTTTTGAAAGAGGTTTCCTATGAACACCAAGGCTGCATTTTTTTAAAATAAAAAATACAGTGAAACAGAAATATTGTGAAATATTATTACATGTAATTTATTCCTGTGATGGAAAAACTGAATTTTTAGCATCATTCTCCAGTCTTCAGTGTCACATGATCCTTTGGAAATCATTCTCATATGCTGATTTACTGCTCAATTATTAATAATGGTTCTTAAAATTATAAATGTTGAAAATAACTTTTGCTGCTTTATATTTGTGTGATAATTTATATTTATTTTTGTGATAAATTAATATTTTGTGATAATATTAATAATATTTTATTTGATGAGTAGAATAGCATTTATTTGAAACTGAAATATTTTGTAACATTATAAATATTTTTACTGTCACTTTTGATCAACTTCATGTGTCCTTGCTGAAAAAAAACCGTTAAAGCTCTTATTGAACCCAAAACTTTGAATAGTAGTGTATAAAAATATATATGATTATATTATTTAGATATATTTAAAGAGATTGTGCTATGATATTTAATCATGACAGCACAGCTAAAAGGGTTTTAATTACCTCTGTAGGGCATGTAACAAATTTTCATTGAGTGAGGAGTGAGGAGGATTGTCCTGTTTTTTTCCTCAGTCTAAAAACCTACCTTATATAAACTTTATATAAACTCAAAATACTTTATACATGTATAAAGAACTTTTACCTTCAATTAACTTGATGCCAATGGCTTACAACTAATTTAACTCTTTAATTGCACAGAAGAGCACTGACCAATAAGCGATGTGCCAAATACCTACGCCTGTCAAAATGAAAGCACTTTATCCCACTATTATGCAATAATGCCTAAGGCTTTTGCATTATTGTACACTGGGCAATGCTAAAACCTGCTTAAACTGCAGACGTGCAAGTGAGAACAAAGGCTAAAAGTGTTATTGAATAATACAGTGTTTGCAATCTTGCAGAATCCAATCATTACATTGTGCATTTATTGTGTGCAATGTTAGCCAAAAACTACACAAATGTTCACCACTCAGATTCGGTCCCGAGTATGTAAAACATAACAAGGAAAATAAATTATATCCTTTCACTCGAAAAGAAAAAAGTTTGTATACTTGATTTATTTATTTGACAAAAAAACATCTCGACAGTTTGTG